GGCCTGATTTTAATTCCCGTTGGATCAAGGCTCATCGAGAACTGCCCCAGTTCTTGACACTGTTAGGATATTAAAAGTAACGTTTATTTTTATAAGTCATTACCATCTTGGCACACTTGCATTTATTTCAAGCAAGTCCTATCATCTTTAGATTTCGAGCTTCCCAAAGTCTAAAAACATGCACCTCAGTTTTACATTTCTGTTGGAGAACACACCGTTTCCCAAAACCTCCGTTTATGGGCTTGTGCCGTGACTGGTGTATTCAGTGTCAGTCAGAAAGATGTCTGTGAAATGTCAACACGTTGTTGAAAAGTCTTTGAGAGAGAACCTGGGGAGTTAGGCAAACCATAGCACGCGTATGTCATCATCATCGATGCCGTGTAGCTACGTGGAGGGGCCAGATGAAGAAGGTGCTTTCCCAAAATTTCTGCTGCCTGTGGCTCAGAGCCGTGAGAAAACCATGACAGTAGAGTCACACTGCGTACCTGGCGTTCGTGGTGCCTGGGATACATCAGGTAGGTAGGGTCCTTTCATTTATCAAAGGATGAAAATGAGTTTAAAGCATTTACAACAGAGCTAGGCAGACAGTAGGTATAACTTTATTGCTGTTTTGTGTGTGTGTGTGTTTTATGGGGTTGTTGTTGTTTTTCTCTTTTTAGCTGAGCCATCCTGCCACCTTTTGGCAGCTCAGCGGCAGCTCAGCTCGGACCGGGCATCGAACTGCTGTTGCTCAGAACTCACACTCTTGAGGAAGCTCTTAACCAACTGAGCCACTCGGCCGGCCCTATATCGTTGTTTTTTAATAACTTGATTGAACCCAGTGTTACTGATGCTACTGGATTTCAGAGCCATTTTCAGGTGACACCAAAAACATACTAACAATCTACAAAACATCACTCTGAAGACTGGGCTTTGGCAGACCCTCCCCAACTTATTTTAAACCTCTGGGCCGGCCGAGTGGCGTGCTGTTTAAGAGTTGGCTTGGGACGCCAGCTCTGAGCAGCAGGGCCACCGGTTCGGATCCCACATGGGCCAGTGACGCTGCGCCCTCTACAGCTAAGATGCTGAACAACAGCTCCACCTGGAGCTGGGCTCCCATGAGTCACCGGCGACGGTGTGGGCTACAGTGGGGCTGGCTGGTAGCGGGTGTGAGCTGCCATGAGCGGCTGTCGAATGGCCGGCGAGTGACTGCCTCACCTGGGAAGAGCGCATTGATAATACCAACATGAGCCAGTGAAGCGACGTCCTCCACAACTAGACTGAAGAACAAAAGGACAGCAACTTGTCTGTTCCCCTTCCCTGGTTCCGCAACACTGTTCCCTCGCACAAGTCCCTGATAAAATTTTTAGAAAAATAAAATAAATAAACCTTTGGCTGCTTGGCTTCCAAGTCCACTTGGTTCTAGGTTTTCCCGGCACCCACCCTGCACTTCATTGTTTCCATTCTATGGATAATGACGAAGAGGCCCTTGGTCAAAAGGCCCCCTGCCCCAGGTACCGTTCCTACCTGTCATTCACAATGCGTTCGATTCTGGCAGCCAGGAATGCTGGCGTGAGGTAGCTGGGTAGTTCTGGCTGGGGTCTCTCGTGAGGTTGCAGGCAAGATGTCAGCTGGGGCCGCCGTCGCCTGGCGGCTTGACTGGGGCTGCGTGATGCACCACCATGGTGGCTCCCTCCCGGGGTGGCTCTGGGCAGGAGGCGTCAGTTCTGCTGCATGCTGGCTTCTCCACAGGCAACTAAGGGAATAGTATTGTACAAATTTGATTCTGTTTTAGCAAGAGATGGAATCACTATTTATATAGTTAAGCATTTAATGTATGATTAGTAAAAATATACGTTTATCCTTTCGATTTAGTCATCGATAAGCTATTTTGTTGTTGTTGTTGTCTACATTTGGGCAACCAAGCAGGAAGCGTTTTTGACAGTCTTATGAAAATATCCCTGAGACCATTCTTCCTGAGTCTAAACTCTGTGTCAAAGTCTTATTTCACCTCCTAATAGTTCACAATAAAAATCAGACAGACGTCATGACGAGATGAACTTAGCGATTCTAAAATCTGTGCTAGTAAAATGAAGTTTCTCAACCCAGGCACTATTGCTATTTTGGGGTGGATCAGCCTTTGTCTCAGGGCCGCTTGTCTGGTGTGTCGTAGGATGTTTATCGGTGTTCCTGGTCGTCACCCACTGACTGGATGCTGGTAGCACTCCCCCACTCCAGTTGTGACAGCCAAAAATGTCTCCAGATATTGCCCAATGTCCCTTAGGGTGGAGGGCTCAGTATCGGATTTCAGTGGGCGATGGTACCTGAGCAACCAGTGTCACTCTGGGCTCGGGGAGGGGGATGACAAGGGACTGCTTCATGGATATAAGGTTTTGGAGTGATGGACATGTTTTGGAACTTGACGTAGGGGTTGATTGCACAACATCGTGACTGTACTAGGGGCTTTATACCTCCTACGCACGTGGAAGGACTTCCAGTATACGTCTGTCTATGTCATGCCATGCCAAGAGCTGAGAGCAACCAGAAAAGTGGTTTAATTTAATATTTAATTAAATATTACCTTGTTTACATTTAGTATTACTTTTGAGAGAAGGAACATATTTTATTTATTTAAGTTATTTGCATTTCCACACAAATATTTTGCAGTACATAAATTTTATTTATTTTTTATTTATTTATTTATTTTGCCCGCACTGTCTATCGATAGTGGTTCTATCTGGGTACTACTAATGGGAAAATCAGTAATGACCAGGTATTGGCAAGTCAGATTTCTCCTTTTAATTTATTGTTTCTAGCAATAAACTAATCAATTTTGACACGTTGCATAACCAGAAGAATGTTATTAATAACCAAAGTCATATTTCCCATTTTTTTTGGCGTTTATAACACAGATGATGTTAATTATACTTAATGAGTTTAACAACATATATAAAAGATACTCTCCGATTCCAAGGCTCTTAATTTGTGAGTTGCCATCTGTTTTGGGACCAAAGAATAAGATTTTGATTCTAAAGCTTTTTTCTGAACAGCTTGTAATAAGAGCTGTTTATATATTAATTACTTATTGAATTATTATGGATTTTAATGCTTTAATTTTCAGGCAATTTGGGGCTTATTGTGGTGACATCTGCTCATATTTTCACACTGTACGGTATTTAGCAATTTCATCAGAAGGCTATTTTTTCCCCCCCAGTCATTTACAACCCCATCCTGAAAACAGTAATTTGCTTTCTACTTCAGGTTACTATAAGGAGTATTGTCCTATTTCGTCGCCACTACAGAATTTGTTTTGTAATGAAATGTATTCTTTTTGTTTGTTTTATAAGCAAAGCAACATGCCGTTATGCTTGCTTCACTCTGCTTCCCTGTAATTTCTATCAAAGAGTTGTAGTCAGATTTTGTTTAAATATCGTATTGTTTTTTTCTAGTGGCAGGTTTTTTTTACTTTCTCTGGTTATTTCTCTTACTTTACATATCCTCATGGTTTTTTTTTTATTTTCTGTAATGAAACTAAGAGTCGATGAGCCTGCTTTTTTTAATCTCCTTTTTTTTAAACAACTTAATTATAAATGTGAATCAGTGGGAATAACTTGAATTGCCTTAAAACATTTCATGAGGTCCCGTGTAATTTCACTCGTAAAAACACACCTTCATTCATAGCTTCGCTTGTGACTTTGAATTATATTAAACCTGGCACCTTTTTATTATCATTTAAGAGTATTGAACAAGAATGTAGAGAAAAGGCAGGCATTTCATTTCTTTAGTTCTTGAGCTTGTAGAGGATCGTAGATCATTTACTGTGTAGAAGGCTGCATTCATTCACAACCAAAGATATTTTATAAGGAAGAAGGTAATTAGTATTAAGTAAATGCTGGTTGACTGCTTAGTGTTTATATTGACTGAAAAAAAATTTTTTTAACTTTTTATTTTTTTATTTTTTTAAAGACTTTATTGGGGAAGGGGAACAGCCAAGTTGTTGTCCTTCAATCTCAGCTCCAAGTCCAGCCACCATCTGGCTGCCTGTCGGCAGCTCACAGCCACTCAGCTCAAGGTGCCGTGTTCAATCGTATTTGCAGGCGGGCATAGCCACCATCCCATGAGGGAGCCGAACCAGCAACCTTGTTAGGAGCACGTGCTCTCACAGCTGAGCCACCCTGCCACCTGTAGGCAGCTCAGCTCAGGCGCAGCTCACTGGCCCATGTGGGAGTTGAACCAGCAACCCTGTTGCTCAGAGCTCGCGCTCTTAACCAACTGAGCCACTCAGCCAGCCCAAAAAAACTTTTTTGATAGAAGGATTATCTTTTTATGAGATGAGAACCTGGATTCTTCAGAAATCAGTGCAAATGCAATCCCTGTGAAATGGAAATGTATGAGTACAGTAATGGAACAGTTGAGATGTATTAGTCAGTGTCTTTCTTTTGCTTTATTTTGGGGAAGCCACAGGGCGGGGGACAAGATTCTAATATGCTTTGTATGTTTTTGTGAACATGGTATAGATGAGGTGAATACATAAATATGCCTGTTGTGACTATTGTAACCCTCACTCCAAGAGGTGTCTAACTTTTCTCTAAGGCGTGATTTCTGTGGAGGGTGTGTGTGGTTTAATTTATTGGTGGTATACGGCGCAGTCCTTAAAACAAAGATATATCAAATGGGCACTGATTTATTATTAAACGATAACAGCCGCGCTGTCTAAGCCCAAATTAATTTTATCCACTTTGAGACTCTTCGCTTTCAGAATTTCTACACATACCATAATACCTGCCTGGCCATTTTAATTTCTGCTTTTCCACTTTGCAAATAAAACCGCATCCTCTGTGTTGAAGTTTAAGACAGGAGATTTTGAAACAATAAAATAGGTTAAGTTTGAGTTGGGATGAAAAAGAAAAACAGTGTCATCAATTTGAAAGAGAAAACACAAAGGAATGGGAATGGTAAGAGGTGACTACTCCCCAAAGATTTTTAAGGTTTTTCTTTACAAATCTCCCGTTTCTCGCCAGGCAGGTCCTGGCTGACGCTGTGCAGTTTTTCTGATCGGATGCTGGGGAGCCCACTGGTCTGGAGATCTACACATGAAGTCGCCATAAAGGTAAGTGCCCCACCTGCCACTGGCTTCTTGTCCTTTTTCCTGAAATCCACTTGAGAAGCAAAACTGTGTTTTGCCAAAAACTAAACACTGTCTGTTTTAAATTGAGTTTTCAGGAGGAATGTGCAGGTGCTCCTTTTTGCCGAAATGGAAGGTATAATAGTACATAGGGCATCATTAAATCATGACAGGCTAGAGAGTCAGTTCTACACGATGAATTGGACTTCTGCCTTCCAAGAATTATGGATACTGAACACGCTGTTCTAAACTTTTCTGAGTCTTAACCAGGACAGGATGACAGCTTCAAAAATCAATTCCTCTTGTTAACACTGCAAATTAAAATTAAGCTGAATCATTCCCTGTAATTGGGCACATGAGAGTAGATTTTATTTGGCTCCCGTCTCTTAATTCTGTGCTTTATTAGTTTCTTAATACGATTTGTGTTTATCTGCAAATTGATGTGCTGCTTAACCTTGAAACTATTAGAAAAACATGGAGATTACTGTTTATAAATCTAGCGCGATGATAAGGTTTCCGGAAGAACAAACCAAACAATCATAGGTGCCCACGCGCTGAGAGTTGAAGCCCACACCCCAAATTAAAATTGATGCCCAGCTCCCCCCCCGCCCAAATAAAATAAAATAAAATAAAAATAAGCAAGTTCTATAAAGGTTGTTATCTTGTGGTAGATGGAATTTTAGGATTTAATTTGTGTGTGTGTGTGTGTGTTTTGGTTTTTAAATTTTTCTTTTAGTAAAAAAACCAATCTTTATAATTTTAAAAACATAAAATGGAAATTTGGAGAAGATTTTTGCTTGATCATTTTAAGAAAATCAAGCAGAGCTAAAATGCTGGACCTAAATGTAACTAGAGGAGGAGTCTTATTTTTTTGTTTACAACCAAATATGTAAAAATTGTGTTAACCAAGTAAACGTGTAAGCATTTTGGTCTTTTACTTAAATATTTGAAAAGTGCAGTTTGTTAATAAAGAAAAAACAGCATAAAGTGTCGAGTTTGGGACTGGCTTTAACTTAGCATGATTTTTCAAAGTTCATCCACGTTGTGGCACGAATCTTTTTCATGGCCAAGTAATAGTCTGTCGTATGGATTGACCACGGTTTGTTTATCCGTTCCTGAATGGACGGACATTTGAGTCACAGTTCCCTCTCCATTGTGAATAACGCTGCTGTGAACATTCCTGTACAAGTTTCTGTGCCGACATCTGTCTTCGTGTCTCTTGGGTATGCCCCTGGGAGCCAAATTGCCAGTTCCCATGGTGACACGATGTCTCATGTCTTGAGGGCCCATCCGACTTTTCCAGAGTGGCTGCACTATCGGCCGGTACTGTTCAAAATGCAAGTGAACTGTATTCTAAGTATTGGAGGGAAGGTGAGAGAGAAGCTGTGTTGCTTGTCGATGTTTTGATTGGGTAGGGATTCAGTGCCGAGGGAACATAAGCTTCGATTGAATTGAAATGAGCACACGTTCAATTCCTGCTGTGCGTGAGGCATGGGTGTCTCGCTTCACGGGGGACTGGATTTTGTAGGTGATGCTTGCAGATGGTCACTCGGGGTCATGCTGGGAAGTGGCACCCTGCTGCCTGCCTCCCCCAGCACCTACGGTGCGTCGGCAGGATGGGAGTTACTGTAAGTCAGACGCCTGTTCTCTCTGTACTGGGCACTGCACCTCAGAAAGGGGGGCTGGTATGTGAGCCCATTAGGCTGGCCGGGTTTCAACATGGCTCATCCCAGCAGACTGTGGCAACGGTATTTTCTTGGCTGTCAGTATAAAATGGTGGGTATGCTCACACCAGGAACTTCCACATTTGGGGGCATGGCCCTCCCGTTATCAGACAGGAGGATTTTGAGCCAGAAAGCAACAAAGGGACAAGTAGAAAGCCACTTGCTCTCTAATGAAGTGACAGGAAAATCTTCAGGAGAGCAGGGTCTGTACACATTTTGTGTCATGGACAGAGAGTGGGTGGTTCAGGCTCTGTGGGCCGGTGGGTCTCTGTTGCAGCCACTCAACTCTGTGCTTGGAGTGTGAAAGCAGCTTATCAATCATACGTAAATGGCTGAGAGCCAATAAAACTTTATTGATGCACACTTGCATTGCACTGTCATATTCATTTCATGGGTTGCAAAAGTTAACTCTTGGTCCTCTTTTGAACCGTTTAAAAATGTAAACCCTATTCGTAGTTCACAGGCTTCACACAAGGAGGCAGCCGGTGAGAACCGGCTGTGGCCTCTCACCTAGGGAACACACCTGTTTTATTTCTCCCTCTTCTAACTGTGCAGCCTTTTGAGTTGGTGGACATCTGAGGGTGGAGTTATGCGAGGCCCAGGGTGCGGTGGAGACAGACTTCAAGTTGTGGTTCCTTACCAAAGGCATTGCAGATGTAGAGGACCAAGACTCAGGAATTTCGGGGCCCTTCCTGCCATGTACTGAGGAGTGACGCTGGCCCTGTGTACCTGCCCTAACTGGGGGGGTTCTCAGCCACAGGCAATTCCCTCCTCCTCCACCCCCTCACCCCCCAGGGGACATTAGGCCACGTGTGAAGACATTTTCCAGGTGACGGGGTTACTGGCATCTGGTGCGTAGAGGCCAGGTTTGCTGCCGAACATCCTACAGTGCACGGGACAGCCCCACCTCAAAGATTTATGTGGCCCCAAATGTCAGTTATGCTGAGATTGACAGACCCTGCGCTCTGCAACTGTCAGTATTTTAGTTTGTCTTTTAAATCTGATCGGTCTTGTGGCTGTGGAAATTTAAGCCGCTGAGCATTTGATTATAAATCTTAGCTCCTACGTTGGCGGACACCAATGTGAGGATCATGGGACTGTCATCTAATACGTGGGTTCAGATGCTTTAAGTGTTTTTCTTTTCTAATTTTTGCAATGTTTTTTGTTAGTTTCAGGTGTACAAAACAACATAATGATTAGACATTTTCCATCCCTCACAAAGTGAAAAGTGCCCCCAAACTACTACCCCTCTGACATCANTCTGCAAGCAATGGTTATCCTGAGCAAAACAGGCGGAAAACATCGGGCAGGTAGCATGTAATAAACAAACACCTGTCCGCTTCCAAGCCTGGGTCTGCGTCACCTGGGACCCTGAGCTATAGGAAACCGCATACCCACTAACCTAGGAATTCGAGATGCTTTCCTTTGACCCGCACCTCCACCGAAGGCAAAAGCACACTCAAAATGTATGAAGAGATCTCTGGGTGAACCGGTGGTCTCACGACTGTGAACATCGGGATGCATAAAGCGTGTGAGAGGAAGGCTTCGCCAGGGCTCTTGCTGCCGGGTGGCTGGGTCCTGGGCCGCTGGGGCGCGAGTGTTGCTAGCCTCTTGGAATAAACACAGAACTCTCCAGCCGTCCCCCAGAAGGGTCAGACTTCCTTATTTAGCGTTTGTTGATAGTTTCTGTAACCGGGCATCCGAGGAGGACAGTGGGGAGGTGACGATGTAGAGAATGTCATCAGTGTCAATTTTGTGTGACGTCTGCTGAGCTCTAGTCCTCATTTGTCAGACGCCTGAGGGTACAACCCCACGTACTGAGCAGCTGTTAAGGAAGAGATTACTGCACTTTCCTCTACACTCAGTGTCCCCTGGAATTGAGGACCCCAGCACACGGACATTTTCCAAAGGAGAAGGGAGAGAAGCAGCGCCTCATGTTTGAAGCGTTCGCCTGGGGGTTGTTTTATACGTTTATCTCAAATCCTAAAGTCTTGGTTAAGCAGATCTTGAGCTCCCAACTTGTCTTAAGTCTATTAGTCTCTTTTCTAGCTCAACAAAGAAAAAGGTGCCCCTTCACCTTAATCACTGTTCCTCTTGGGGCTTATGTGCGCTCCGAGCCGTTAACCGCCATCTGACTCGGTGACAATAAGTCCTGGGTCCCGGCGGGGCATGGGGTCTGGAGTCCTCCCCACCTGGCTTTCTCCGCTGGAAGGTGCCAGTAGGTTCTGTGTTGCCAAGTCTGCCTTTAGTTGTTACGTTGTGTGTAGAAGGCACTGGGGATGGCACAGGGAGCCGGCAGGTGGACGGTGACCTGGCAGTGAGGGAGATAGATCTGTACTGTGCCTCGCCGACCAGGGGTGGGCCCAGAACATTCCACCCCGCCTTCATGGGTGTGGGGAGGGGCAAGTTTCGTGGAACCACGGGCGGTCCTGGTCCTAGCCACCTGAGCAGGGGGAGAGAGGCGTGCCTCTGTGCTCGGGAGCTAGCAGACACCGTTTCTGTCAGCCCTCCTCAGTCCACCAGCTTCTCTCTTCATGCCACCCCCCATGCAGCTAGGACGCCTGAGGCTGCAAGTGAGAGACTCGCCCGTGGAACAGTTACCCTCTCAGAACACAGGGCACACTCCCTGAAGGTAACGCTTTCCTGAGAGCGTTGCGACAGTCCACATCGCCATGTCTCCAGACTCAGTGCGTTCCCATAACTTTTATTCCATTCTGTTGTTAAAGTGGTTCTGTTTTATTTTTATTGTTGTTCATCTCGTACTGTGCCTAATTTATAAATTAAACTTTCTCATAGGCATGGACATATAAGGAAAAACACAGTCCGTATCAGGTTTGGTATTACCTCTGGTTTCAGGCAGCCACTGGGGGTCTTGGAACGTGTCCTCTGCGGGTAGGGAGGAACCACTGTAGTTCGTTCTTTATTGCTCAGTAGTATTCCATTTTAAGGACACGTGGCAGTTGACTGTCCATCCTCCTGGGGGAGAGCATTTAGGTTGTTTCCAGGTTTTGACGATTGCCAACGAAAGCTCCTAGAAACATTTGTGTGCAGGCTTCATGGGTCAACACGGGGTTTCGTTTCTCTTGGGTCGCTACCTAGGAGTGGGATGGCTGGGTTGTGTGTCAGTGTAGATTTCACTTTAACAGAAGTCACCACATCCGTTTCCATCTCTCTGGGCNGGTCTTCCAAGTTCACGTTGTTGGCATAATTTTGGTTCCTTGTGGTTGGAGGACTGAGGCTCAGCGAATCCTAGAGGCGGCCTCCCAGCTCCCTGGACAGTTCACGTGGTGACAACTTTCATCTCCAAGACCATCATGAGACCCTCTCCCTCCAGTCCACTAAGACAAAGTCTTATATAATGTCTAATCATGATGGGGATGACATCTGATCTTCATTTTAGAACGTAATGTCACCAAGGAAGGGGTGGCCATCTCCTTTTGACACGTCCTACGGGATAGAAGCAAGTCACAGGGTCCTGCCCACCCATTTATATATGTGAGGCTGTGACTCAGGGCCATCTTTGAGGCATGTCCCTTACAACAGCCCACTTGAATCTGTACTTTCTCCTTTTATCTTTTTGTAAACAAACACTTAACTCTCATGCAACGATAAAAGTTTTGCCACCGCTAAAGATGGCTGGCAATGTAGGACATGAACTCTGAAGACAGGTCCTTAGCAGCCCAAAGTGTTTGGGGTTGGTGATGTGATTGAAAAACGCTGTGGCTGTTTTTGGCTATTGGCTCTTGCAATGACTTCTGCTTTGTCTTGTGTACAAAAGCGTTCTCCTGCATGGACCACTGTTCTCTCTGGGCGGGCTTGTGCCTTTGCCTTTGTCTAACTAGGGTCGCTGGGAAGAAAATGACTACCTTCCTGGATGCCTCAGACTGAGGCTCCCAGAGTTCTCATCGTTGTTTCCCCGCCACCCCAAGTTTCCACCTGCCTTCTGGGTGCTCGAACCCCCCAGCCAGACTGATGCAGTGAGTTCTGTGGCAAAACACAAAACATGGAGGTTCTCTGCTTCCTTGCTGTGGCTTCCTGAAACCTGGCCTCTTTATAGAATGATGGCAAGGTGACAGATACATTTACCTCTGCGACCTTCTCAGTGCTGTGTGTGCCCGACTGGTGGAGTGACCATCAAGCGTGTCATTTAAACTCTTACAAGTGAAAGGTGTCGTGCTGACACGATCGCCGGTTCTACTCAGTAATCTCCATGTGTCTGGAAAGTGCTTAGTGTCTAAGCCAGCCGCACCTGTTGTGGGCTGCATGCGTCCGTAGAAGCTCGTTTCTGAGCACAATGTGACCCTAATGCATGCGCACATGATTTTTATTGAACACAAAGCCAGGGTTTGTTTTTATTTTCTGTTGCCCATGAATTTTGTCTTCTTGAGTATGGTTTGTGCCTAACTGTATCCCAGCCTTACAAAACACACCAATGTTTCTTATTTGCATTGGGGGGGGAGGGAGACATTTCACCAGGATCTTTTTTTTTTTTTAATGTATAAATAATTTAAAAAGTGTAATCACGTGTTCACACACTATAACCCGAATCAGGCATGAATTACCTTCGTGGGTATAACATTGTGGGTTTGTTGTTTCCCCCCACTGTCTCAAGAAGAATGCAGGGGAAGAATTTACAGGCAGCGTTTCAAAGCTCTCTGCTTTTTCCTCTCGCCTTTCTCACAGAGGGTGGCTCCCGCTCCGTCGAGACCTCGTCGCCGCGAGGTGAGGCTAAGATGAGCATAACCAGTGATGAAGTGAATTTCCTGGTGTATCGCTATCTCCAGGAGTCAGGTAAGAGGGCTGCTTTTCTGTCCGCAGGAAACCTTCCAACGCGCTCCACTTAATGGCCTCCACCCATAGGTGGGGAAAGCAGGCTCTAGAAAAACAAGAGCTGAGGACAAGGGGACGCAAGAGGGTTCTGGGGCCGTCCCGTGCCTGCGGTGGCGTGAAGCAGTGTGTTGATGGGCTGGGGTGCAGACAGGAACCTCTTAGATGTAGGACCTGATTTACTGAGCATCCTGCACCCGCCGGCCCCCCAAATGGGCCCTACCCAATTTTCTAAAATTTAGGATTATTTCTTGTTTCTTCCAACACTTTTCATTGGGACCAAGCACTTCTTTTATCGTCAGTACTGAAGAGGCCAAGCGGGTGTTCTCTGTGGGGACAGCTGCCACCTTAGGGACCAGTGAAGGGGTGGGAAGGGTGCCATGGAGTTGGGGGGTCTGGCCTGGCTTTGTCACAGACGAGCAGAATTCCTCAGACGAGCCCTTTGGCATCCCTGAGCCTTGATGTCCCCATCGCATAATATTAAGGCCGCCCCCAAAAGCGGAGCCAAACCCCAGTTCACAGAATTGCTTGTGGGCACTTTTTGAAAGCCTTGAATCTTACTCCTTTGTTTATTCAATTTATTACTTTTTAGATTAATTTCTCAAGTGCGTGCTCCTTTTTGACTATTAAAACCGTAAAGTGTTTAATTTGAGACGTGCAAAATGACACGAATGCAAAAAAAGTCCTTGTACGCACCTACCCACGCAACTTAAGAAGTAAACCATTGCCAGTGCAATGGGGGGACCCCTGGGATCGACTCTCTGAGGCCGTCCCCTGTCTGTCCACTCGGTGGTGACTACCCTCCCGGTTTTGGTGGTGTTTATCCCTATGCATTTACTACGCAGGGGTGTTTTTCTAAGCAGCGTCAAGTAAAGGGGTACTACCAGTTTCCCGGGCCTGCTGTGACAGAGTGCCACAGACTGGGGTGGCTTAAACAGAGTTCTGTGGTCTCATCCTTGTGGCAGGTGGAAGTCCAAAACCAAGGTGTAGGCAAGGTTAGTTCTTTCCGAGGGCANTCAAAGTGGTTCCCATCAGCGTCCAGACACTTCTGATGACGGTGAACTACTGCTTGAGCAACACTGACCCAAAGTGTCCACTTGTAGACATGTTTTTAGCACCCCTGGTGTGTGTGTGTGTGTGTGTGTGTGTGTGTGTGTGTGTTATAACATTCAATATTATTCTACTTAAGCTTCAGGTGTACAACGCAGTGGTCAGGCATCTACACCCTACATAATCTTTGCAGCATTGTTGATTATATTCCCCATATTGTCTTTCACATCCCCATGACAATTTTGTGACTACCAATTTGTACTTTGTAATCCCTTCAACTTCTCCCCCATCCCCACAGCCTCCCATCTGGCAGCCATCAGCTTGTTCTCTGTATCTATGAGTCAATTTCAGTTTTGTTTGTTCATTTATTCTGTTCTTTAGATTCCCCATATAAGTGAGATCACATGGTATTTGTCTTTCTCTGTCTGACTTATTTCACTTAGCATAATACCCTCTAGGTCCATCCATGTTGTTGCAATGCTTTTCTTTTTTTTTTAATTTTTTTGTTATTTATTTAAACTGAAGCATCAAAAAATGCTGTAACACCAAGATTTATGAAATCCAGGCCACCTCGGTGTGTGAGTCATCTGCTTTTGTATCTACAGAGAAAGCCACGAGATTTATTTTTCCAACCTCCAGAGGCCACATTCTATGAGTAAATGGCCTCGCTTACGACTCCACCTACCGAAGGAAAGGGGATGGTCAGGCCAAAGTCAATCCTGCTGCATGGGTGGGTGAAAATCTTGGTGTCTTCGTGGTTTCGTAACCAGCCTGTGTGGACGCCTCTTCATTTCTGTGAGGGCCCAGTGCCTGTTGTGGAGAATCTGTTTCCAACCCCTCAATCTTAAAGATAAGTAAAGTCTGTGAATTAATTTACAAATTAATAGGAAGTGTTAGCTTAAAGACCAGCATCATTAGAAAAACAGCAAGCTACTCTTCCGTGGGGGCTGTAGTTGCCTGTTTCTCCCAGGGCCACCTGCCGTGAAATCCTGGGGATGTGAACTTGCCTTTCACTGTGCACACAGGCGGGAAGACGGAATAGGGAAATTGTGCTGTTTGTCTTGTGGACATCACCTAGCTCATGGGATGCACACTTGCTTAGCTGTGGTTCGCTGTTAACCAGGTTGAGCATTTTTAGGAAGGTGTCCTCCTGGGCAGGCCGGGAAGATAGGGTGGTCAGTGCAGAGAGTTTGAGAGGGGACTCCGTGGCCACTTGGGAGGCACACAGAGGTAACCCCAGGCCTGGACACCTTCCCTGTCACGTCAGCATCTTCCATTGACGTGCACGCGGGTTTTGGATGCAGGTTCCAGCCAGCCATTAATTAACCCAAAAGAGCAGCCAGGCACAGAAAGGACCCTTTCGGAATGCCTGCCCCACTGGGGGTGTGTTTTCATCCTTGAAGAGCAGCATTATTTCCTAACACGAGAGCCCTCCCCTCTGCTCTCCCAACCCTGAGTCCCGTTCCCTACTTAGAAGTGCTGAGTCTGCTGTCATGCTCATCATTTCCGAAGACATTGCCGGGTTTTAACTACATTCTAATGAAGATGAAAACAGTTCATGTTCATAGGAGAAAACTTGGAAAACCACATGCACATACACAGATATATCGTCCCATCCCAAAGATAGGGGTAAGAGTTTGTTCCATTTATGTGTGTGCAAAACAAAATTGAGCGTCATGCACATTCTGTCTTGAAACCACCTTTTTTTCACATAGCAGTTGTGTCTTGGACATTTTCCCCACTCGAGAACTATTCTTTTAAGGTCTACATCTTATTCCATTGGCCTGTTCCCATCTTTAAATGGTGCTGTTGCTGCTGTGAGGACTTTTGTCATAAAAATAATCGTTCTTTGATTATCTTCAGAAAGTTGGACCGTTTGACGCTGAGTATATAAATAGGACTAAAATTAGTGGAAAAATCTTATTGTTTTTCTTACTGGAAAACAATATATGTGTGCTCCTTGGGAAATGGAGATAAATCTACGAAAGAAAACAACAAAGATGAAACCGCCGTTCATATTTTCATGTATTTCCTCCCCAATCTTTTCTGTGTGTATATTTTCCTATCATGGGAATCAAATTATAAATGCCTTAATTTATTTAATCATATTGTCATTGGACAACATGTTTCAACAGTTACATATTGGCTCCATTACAAAGAAGAAAAGAGAGATGCAAAATGATAAAACAAGCCTGTTGCATCCA